ATCGCATGTCGCATGTTTATTTTAGATCTGTGTGGCAGCAGCAATATACAGTAAATAAATCTATAAATCCTCTTGTCTCTTGTCTCCTCTGAGGCTGGGACTGTAAATAGTGTTCTGTGCTCGTCTGTGCAGCCAAAGGCAGAACAGTTAGCGTGTTTTGCTCAAACCTTCGCTTTCTCAGACGCTTGCAGAAAAAGGCTTACCAAAACAAAGTTACTGGGTTAACCTTTTTCACGTTTCCTTGGTTGGTAGATGCACCGGGGACCTGATTATAGCACTTAAAAGTTGGAAAAGTCAGATTTTCATGATATGTCACCTTTAAAATATTTCAAATATATTTGTTACTACATTTATCTATTACTATAATATCCCCAATAAATATTCCCTGCGTTCCATTAGGAAGGACTCATCACTATGCCCTAATCCCTTCAAAGGGTTTACCCTCTGGAGTGAGAGCTTCGAAGGGTTTAAGTGTGTAGAGGTCTGCGCAAAGGATCATGGGAGCCCAAAGTGTCCATCAGTTGTACCCTTCGAAATCCTTCATTCCGATGGGCCCTTTGAAGTGGCCAGTTTTTAGCACTTCGGTTTGGAACGACCCTTCAATATGGCCCTTCGGAGGGCAATATATCCCGTTTGGAACTCACCGATTGTATATAGTCGTGCTCATGGAGAGCAGCACACAAATGTTTGGAGCAGATGCAGCAGCAGCCAGATTGCCGCGCACATGTTCTCCTGCTCTTGTTCAAGGGCGTCATCATGGTCTTCCTCATCCTCTCCATGCACTCAGCCAAGGACAGCCTCGATGTCCCTTTCCCATCCATGATCAGATTCAGTCTGACTGCAGCAATGATGGTCATATTGTTCATAAGTGTTGGGGTGGGCTAGCAATGCATTCTGGGGTAATCTTAATTTTTAAGTAGTAATACTTATATTTTTCGAGTGTAAAATTAACAGTCTTCAGCAAAGGCCAGATCTTCTAGCAGCTGATTGACGTCTCCTTTGTGGAGATATTACAAATATTGCAAACGCTGAGGAAAACTGTACTAGGTAGGGTTGTGGAGTTACTGATGCTACAAGGTGTTTGTGCACCTGTCACTCTTATTTTCTTTTTATTATTACTACTGCAGAACTTATAATTACATACAGGCTCAGGGAAAGATGGTATCTTTAACAATGAACAATCATAATGACAAAAAAAAACAAAAACAGAAAACAACTATAATGGGTTTGCGTACATCATAGTATGAGATTATATACACAGGAAAAAAAGGATTAAATACAGTCATCTGAGTGAGTGATGTATGTGTGCTATTATGTAGAATTCACTGTTGTCAACACTGCTTTAGATGAATGCAAGTAATGTAAATAAACAAATCTACATAGAGTAACTAAATATAAGTTATCTATATTATTTGTCTATTAGTACTACTGATAAATTGAGGAACATTTGTGTTGGGTAAAAAGTGAGTTAACACATTAGCAACTACCTCAACATGTAAATACTCAACAAGAAAAGGAGGAAAAATTTTGCACATAAAATAAAAAAGGAACAACATATTCAAGAGATAACGATTTTGGGTTTTCGTAATAAAAAAATCATATATTTAAGGATTAAACTGTGGGTCATATTAGTAGGGTTAAAAATATAAAAATTTTAATCAACCCAAAATGTATTGGTTATACTACAATCACAATAAAAGGGCAGCTGTTTCTTCAACAAGACCACAAAATGAGGAAATTTCATAAACAACTAAATATTTACAGAGAGATCAATTAAACCTGTCGCTCGTATCTTTTAAGTTGTTGCGCTTGTTATAACATCATAGATCACATGATAACGTCAACATGGCGGATGATGCCTGGGGGGTATTCCAAAAAGCAGGTTATGTGACACCCGGGTATGTTTGAGGATAAGCGAGCGGATAACCTCAGCTTTCGGTTCCAAAATCGGAGGTTACTTTCAGGGTATGTAAGTAACCATAGTAACTTGCTCTCTGAAGATAACCTGCTCTGGAGCAGGTTATATTCCAGGGTTAGTTCACTTCAGCGCTATCAGCGCACGTGTGATCTCTACCAAAGAGTATAGAAGACCTATTTTTATTTTCGAAGAGAACGCAACATCACGGTTGTCTGAACCAATGAGCATTAAAGGCACAATATGTAAGATTGTTTTATTAAAATATCCATAAACCACTAGAACAGTGTTATATATTTTGCTGACTTGTGTACTTACATTATCCCAAATGTTTTGAAGAATGTTTAAATCCAGAGAAATAAGCAATTTGAACTAGTGACAGGGACCATGTCTATCCACCTTTTTCTTGCCGTAAAATTGGGCGCGGCCATTTGTAAATTCTATGGGTCTAGCTTCCGGTCTCATCCGAGTCCAGCTATTTTTAGCTGTACAAAACCGCTCCTTTTGCTGCTTGATATTGAAAATTGGTGTGTCTTACCATATTATTTTAATGTATTATCTTAATTATGAACACACTGGTTTGTAGTGCAAACAATTTTACCGTTTACTGCACGTTGTTATTCTTCTCGTTATTTCCCTATAGCGGCTAATGAACCGGAAGTCTCACCCAAAGGCTTACTTCTGCATTGAAGAAAAAGGTGGATAATGTCATTGTGTCGCCTGCCAATGACGTCATAACCCCTCAATTTCCGGTTTTGTTTTGTAGAAAACATGGAAACACCAAAGACGCTTTAATATGTTGTGCGTTTTAATAGGCCGGTGACGACCGCACAGAGTAGCATTATAACAGAACTTTCAAACTTTCCCCACATACGCACGACCGGAAGGAGCGGAAGCAGTCGATTGTGGGA